CCAGGCTGGATTCGAACCCGCCACCTTAGGTGTATGTGGCTGGCGCCTTAGCTGCTTAAGCCACAGGCACCAAGCCGTGGTCTGCACTTTTCAGACTTCCCACTCTATTGGAGATTCCCGGCTACCTACTTAATGCTTCCCATCAGCTGCACATTTCCCCATGGTGCACGTCTATCATAGTACCTTCATACAGAGTTAAGACCCAGTCTCCATTGCCTGAACCAGCCCAGCCTCCCTGAGATTAACCAGTGGGAGTATCTAGTTGTGTTTTTGTACTTCATATAGTAGCAATGAAAATAATTTTATGGTTGGGTGTCACCACAACATGAGGAACTGTATTAAAGGGTCATGGCATTAGGAAGGTTGAGAACCACTGCTAGAATAAGTTATCCATTTGCTTCTTACCACAACTGACCCAGAGCGTGGGTAGTAGGGGAATAATAAACAAGTCCTGAAGTCTTTTCTGTTGTGGTTCAAGAAAGGATATTATCTTAGAGGCAATTTAGAATTCATCAAATTAGTAAATAGGATTTGGGGGGCACTGGGGTTCTTAGCACTGAAGGGACATAGGTTATAGTAGTCACCTCCAGTCCTTTGGAACTGAAGGTCTTACTGTATATACAGGCACACATGCACACATAACGGCTGTGTGTGTACCTACATGCATTATGTACACATATTTCGTTGCTCAGAAGCCCCCCTAGTAGCAATGAACACAACTGGCACCACATCTTGGTCTCCAATACCAATGCCTACTAAAAGAAACTAGTTCTTTGATGACATGGGTGATTTCAGGGCTGAGAAAGGGTAGGACAGGATTTGAACATCTTATATGAAAAAGCAAATAAGGATGTGCTCAAAAACTGGAGCCATGTCATAAGTACACAGAAGCCACCCTGCAGGGACTCTTGTTGGCCACATGTGAGGCATCTTGAGCAAAAAAATAACTAGAATGGCAATAAACTTATAAAGCATTGAAAAACCAAATCTATTTTCTGTTAAATATACTAGGAGAAGTGAGGGTGCTGGGTGGCAGCAGAATGCCAAGGGCCAGATGGTTAGCATGAGAGGGTGTCAGTGTAGGGAAACCACCAGCACTCTGCAACCACCATGACAGAGACCGGCACAGGGAAGAATCATCAATGGAAGCTAAATTTAGGGGGAGAGTTTTCTTTTTTCCTGGAGACAGAGTCTCACTATGTCACCCTCAGCAGAGGGCCATGGTGTCACAGCTCATAGCAACCTCAAACTCTTCGGCTTAAGCTATCTATCCTCTTGCCTCAGCCTCCCAAGTAGCTGGGACTACAGGTGCCCACCACAACACCTGACTATTTTTTGGATGCAATTGTTTTGTAGGCCCAGGCTGGGCTTAAACCCACCAGCCTTGTTGTATGTGGCTGGCGCCCTACTCATTGAGCTATGGGCACTGAGCCTAGGGGGACAGTTTTGATGAGGAGCAGGATGTTTGCATGATGTTAAGGTGTCTTCCTACAGATTGCTTATTTGCTAAAAGAAGAAAAAGTTAATTATACAGAACAGAAACCGAACATTCTGACCAAGTGAGGAGAGGATCACCCACAGATGTAAGCTTGACGTGCCCCTCAAGAACATGGGTGGTCAGGACAAGATGTTAGTAATTGGCAGGTCTTAGTGAAGCATGTGTAGATGTTCTTTGGACTATTTGTTAGTTTTGTGCTGTTTTTCTAAGTTTGAAATTACTTCCAAATTTTTATTTTTATTATTTTTTTGATACGGAGTCTCACTATGTCTCCCTCAGTAGAGTGGAGTGGACTCACAGCTCACAGGAACGTCCAACTCCTGGGCTTAAGTGATTCTCTTGCTTCAGCCTCCCAAGTGGCTGGGACTACAGGTGCCTGCCACAAGGCCCAGCTATTTTTTTGTTTTGGTTGTCATTATTTTAGCAGGCCCAGGCTGGCTTTGAACCCTCCAGCCCTGATGTATGTGGCTGGCACCCTAACCACTGAGCAACAGGCACCAAGCCCCAAATAGTTTTAAACAAAAAAAGGGGAACAAACATCTAGCTGTGTATACCAAAGGAGACATTATATGGACTGAAGAGACAGGCTGAGACAGACACTAGAGAGACAGAGGTGGGGTGAGACAGACACTGGAGAGATGGAAGGTGGGGTGAGATGGACACTGGAGGGACAGAAGGTGGGGCTCTACATACAATAACAATTCCTCTGTGGCTCTTAGAGTGAGATGTGCACAGGAGAACTCTCTGTGGCGGAGGGAGAGGGGGAGCTCATGGGTCTCGTTTGGGAATGAGAATTAAGAGGGTACATTTAGGCTTTTTATTGTTATTACCAGAGCCACACTCAGCTTAGGATTTAGGAGCATGGGGCTAAGACAGGAACTAAATTTAGTAACCATGGCAGAGACAGGCACCTGTGTATATAGTTCTCAGCCTCTTGCAAGTGAGCAGGGCCATAGGATCATTTCTCTCCAAGGACATGTAAGTGGAAATGATGTGTGTGGTTGCCCAGGTGAAGGGGTGTGGCTTTCTCCACCACAGTAAAGAGCAGAGCTACAACAGGGTAAATAGGTTGGAGCCTTGATCCCTGGATGCCTGCATGGAGCAGAGTGCCTTTCCCACCAATACAAGCAACAGCAACAACTACTATAAGACAATGGACTATGATGTGAGTGAATAAATATTTATTATGTTAAGCCTCTGTGATCTGGGGATCTTTACAACAGATTGCCTGCTCAAACACAGTGACAGAAAGAGACACCCATTTATCTATCTACAGGAAGCAATTAAATTTATGATCAGGCAATGGGAACAATGCTGTAATCTGAGAATAAATGCAAGAAATCAAAAGATCACCTTCTATAGCCCAAGGAGTTTAGTTTCCTTTGCTCAGGCAGACAGACCACTATTTTGATCATAACCCCCTAGTAAGAAATACATTTTACATTGCAACCAGTTCTCATGTTTAGATGTATGGCTGACAAGTTTCACAAAACAGTATTTGCCTTTACTATGTGATGCCTTTAACCTACTTTATTCTACTTTACTGCTTTGTAATGTTGGTGGCCACCCACTAATTGGATTTCATAATTCAATAATGGGGTGAGACCTGTGGTCTGAAAATCCTGTACTATTAGGCTGCAAGCATTTTTGTGATCTTTGTAAGCTACTCCACACAAGTAAATACGAGCTGTTAAACTAGAAAACAGTTTCTGCTTTTGAGGGTTCAGAAGTGAATTTGACAGTCACACACTTACAAAAAGGCTAAAACAGCTGACAGGACTTCCACATGTACAGCCTTGGGGATCTCACACAGGAGGCACTGCCATAAGGGTGAGTTCAAGAAAGCACTGGCAGACCACACACATTGTGGCAACCTACACTGTAAAGTGTCAATGACCTAGTGTGGGGTGGTGCTAAAAGGGCTGCAGAGGAAAGTGGCATCTTCACATTCAGATGTTGGCATCTGCCCAGGGGTTTTCAGAAAGGAGGAGGCGTCCTGTGACCATTCCTGTTCATGTGCTTCAGCCACAAGAGCCCACTGAAGAACAAGCAGACACGACAGGGAGCCACCATTCCCCGCTGGCTGCTCACCCACAACCGTCATAGCAGGAAGGCTCACCTCTGTGCCTCTGCCTCTTCGGGTGGCCCAGGGCACACCTCACCCTCTGCGCTCTCTGGAGGCTCATGGGCCTTGCCATCAACCTGAGCCTCGCACACAGCAGATTGGGGGCTTGGGGCCACCCCCAACGCATACCCTTTCTCCTTCTCATGGGTCTTCTGGTGTTCAGCCAGGGCCAGGCTGAAGTGGAAGGTCTTCCAGCAGCCCTGGCACGCAAAGCGCTTCCTTCCTCCATGGCTGCTGTGATGCTCCATGAGGTGGGAGATCCATGCAAAGGCCTCCCCACACTCGCTGCAGGCATAGGGCTTCCCCCGGGGCATGCTGGGTTTGTCAGCCACTGGGCAGCCTGAAGCTGAGGTGCCAGGGTCCTGCCCAGCTACGTCGGGCTCCATGCTTGCCCCTTCGGGCTCTGGGCCCTGCCCTTCCTCATCCTCAGGGTAGGGCCTCTTCATTCCCAAGCCCTGATGGGGGGCAGCCAGCTTGGCCTGGCCCTCGTCCAGCGCTGGGTTCTGGATGATTGAATCTCCCTGACCTTCAGAGACAGGGCTTGACTCCCTGTCCTGAGGATCTGGAACCTTATATGGCTGCTCCTCTTCCTCTTTCTCAGTGGTGCCAGAGGGGTTGGCAGGACAGTCCCCCTCAGGCCCCTCTGTCTGCATCTCAGGGGTGGAGATGTCCTCACTCACGCCCCCTGTGCCTTCCTGTTGCCTCCCACTGCCTGAAACAAGGTGAGAATGTGAGCTGTTCATGCCCAGGCTCAGATGCAGGGAGAGACGAGGCAGGTTACCCGTCTCCCACCCATCTGCCTTCCCTGGGTGTCAGCTGCCTGGAAGCAAGACTGTCACTCTCAGCTTGGCCCCCATAGCTCAGTGGTTAGGGCGCTGGCCACATGTGCTGGGGCTGGTGGGTTTGTTTAGCTGGCCTGCTGAACAAACAAACAAAAAACAGCTGGGCATTATGGCAGGTGCCTGTAGTCCCAGCTACTTGGGATGCTGAGGCAAGAGAACCACCTGCGCCCAGGAGTTTTAAGTTGCTGTGAGCTATGACGCCACAGCACTCTACTGAGGGTGACATAGTGAGACCCTGTCTAAAAAAAAGAAAGAGGGGGAAAAAAAAAGACTATCACCGGCTAAGGCGCCAGCCACGTACACCTAAGGTGGCGGGTTCGAATCCCCAGCCCGGACCCGCCAAAACAACAATGACGGCTGCAACCAAAAAATAGCCAGGCGTTGTGGCGGGCGCCTGTGGTCCCAGCTACTTGGGAGGCGGAGGCAGGAGACTCGCTTGAGCCCAGGAGTTGGAGGTTGCTGTGAGCTGTAATGCCACGGCACTCTACCCAGGGGGACAGCTTGAGGCTCTGTCTCAAAAAAAAAAAGACTATCACCCCCTTGGTTGCCAAGGAAGCCGAGGGACCAAGTCTGGTGGTGGTGGTGGTGTTCCTGCTTCCTGCTACGGAGGTGGGGCCAGAGCAGCTGCCTGGGCTCGGCAAGGCAACTCTGGCAATGGAGGGTCCCTGTGTGGGGAACGGACTGTGGCCCCTGTGCACCAGTCTCCCAGGAACCACACCCATGATGGACCTCTACTGGCAAAGGTGAGACCCACTGAGCCCAATGGGACATCAGTGGCACAGCAGTGAGTGTCAACACACACGAGGCAGGATGAGGCATGGCGCAAGCAGAGGCTGACCAGTACTCACCCTCCTGGAGCTTGCTTGTCCTCTCAGAACCCAGCTGCCAATTGGGGGAAGCCCCCAGCCTCTTGGGGAGGCAATACATGAAGGGGCACAGGGCCACCAGTCTCAGCTGAGCCCCATCAGATCCAGCACCACTGCCAGCAGGTGTGTGTGCTACATGGGGCCTCTGGCTATGGTCTAGCTTCTAGATGCTGTAGCTATCACGGCCCAGCAGCTTCCAAAGGAGCAAAACCACCCACAGCGGGGCCCAGCCCTGGATGTAACTGGCACTCTGCTATTTTGGGTGGCCATATTTTGGGGTGATCTGTGACACAGCACAAGGTCGTAGAAGTGACTGACTCCTATTTCTGCTTCTGTTCTGGTATGCAGCTAGAGGATGACTGGCAAACTAACCTTGAGGAACCCCCTCCAAAAGAGAAGCACCTATGAGCCTGGAGCCCCCAGTGTGACCTCACCTGGGAGTTTGCCTGCTGCTGGCTCACTCTCCTCTCTCTCCAACTGAAGTTCCTCCGTGTCCAGCCTGAAGGTAGTGTCAGGCTGGGAAAGCTGATACCCTGAGTGGGGTTAAAAAACCAAACAAAGTGAAAGAGGCATCAAAGCAGAACGCTGCCCACAGGCCTTTGGTCCCCGGGCTGGCCAAGCCCAGAACTGCAGCACCATGACCCCCACCAAATCCTCTCCTTGTCAGAGTCCTGGAGAGCTGGGGGTTGTGAGAATATGGCAGCAGGGCAAGGAGGAGTCTGCCTAGGTGAGGCTTGAAGGGCTGACAGGGCAGGTGGACATGGAGGGACTCAGGGAAGCACTGTTGAAGAGATGAATACAAAAGGACAGGGCTCAGAAGCCTGTGCTGGGCCTCCCTACAAAGGAAGGTTTCTGGGACTAGAATGTCTATGAAGGAAAGGGAAGACCCTTCAAACAGGCCAAGAGGCCTCATTAGCACCTTGCAGCCGGGGGTCTTACAGAATGTGGAGGCTTCAGTTTCTCTGGGCAAGTGCCATAAGCCCTAAGGCCAGAGTGGAACTCACATATGAAGACCAGGAAGGCTGGGACTCAGCAAATGAGTTCAGATTCAAACATGCTCAAGTTCAAATACACTTAAAACACCACAGTGGTCCAACTAAAGTCCTTGGGTAATTAAAATCCCTCATGCTAACTAGTGTGAAAGGAGATGACGGGTGGGGTGTGAGCCCATGGCAGGCAAGTCTCACCTGACAGAAGCAGCTTCCTATAGCTCTTCAGGTTCTCCTGGGCAGGGTCCAGGTGGCCCCACCCCTCCTGCCGCAGAGGCTCCTCTAGAAAGGCCTTCAGTTTCTGAAATGGCAGTACAGCTATGGCTGACGCCACCTGCCCCACAAGACGTTGGACCCATAGCCCCACAGTGCAGGGAGCACATGAAAGGGGATCTGACCACAGAGGCAGCTTTGGTTTTGCTCTAAAACAGGTTTCTCAGCCTTAGCACCATGGAAATTACCCTGTTCTGGGGCACAGCATTAATGGTGGAGAAGGAGATGCTGCTAAGCCAGGGTGGAAAAAGGCCAAACCTGCACCCCCAGAACACCTGTGTCTTACCCACCTTCTGCTCGGCTTTGGAAGGGTCTGCCTCTTCAGTCTTTATTTCTCCGATGCTCCCCAGTTCCGGAAGCAGGGGTTCCATGGAGAGCCAGGCTGGGGAAAAGGGCAGGCAAAGCTGAAGAGTCACATATACCGTGGGCTGGCACCCCCAGTTAGGGAGACCTGACTGCCTCCCTGCATAGGTATGGCTCATGTGCCAGCAAGTCCCCCGGTTCTATGACTCTGTCCTGTATTTACAGAGAAGAGTCACCAAAAAGACAAGAGGGCTCTAGCTCAGGGTTGGCCTGCGATTGCCAACGCAAGCCATGGAGAGAAAGCTTTTCTTACCCACTGGATTAGTAGAAATCTTAAAAAGCGACATAAGGTACCATCATAGAGGCAGGCACATGGGCACCCTCCTATGCAGACAGCACAGAACTTCCTACCCATAGGGAAGTGTACATTGTAGGTGAAATGTAAAACTCATATGTGCTTTGTCTGACAGTCCTGAGAAGCCCATGCCATGATGACCAGAGCTCCCACATCCAGGCACACACATGTGACTGCAGCCTGGTTTCAAGGGCAGAGATCCCAACTCTAGGATGAGGACAGGCTGAGCACAAGTAACAGTGGGCAGCTAAAGAGCCAGATAACTGACCAGGGCCAGGAGACACAGCACACCATGCTCTGAGGAGGCCAAGGCTGAGCCCAAGCCCTCTGTGTGTGCATGTGACATGTAGGAAGATGTTAAGTGTCATACAGTGGCACTTAAGACACAGGACTTTTGTTTTTAGAGAGTAGGTAGGGAAAATCCTTTTTTCCTTACACATCAATGCTGTTCACTACTTGTGAACCTTGAAAGGACCTGCAATCTCTGAAGAGGAATTTAATAAACAACAATACTTCTAATATTCACAAGAGAAGGATCCCAGTTTAGCAGGAGTTCAGACCCTTGCCACTGGCCTCCTCTGATCTGACCCCACTCCCTACAGGCCCCACCTACCACCCACCCTGGGCCCCACAGGTAGAGGGTGGGTCAGTCACTCACGAGTCACAGCAGGGCACAGGGGATCCCCAATTCCCAGGTCCTGGGTGGGGCTCACTGGCCCAAATGGAAACAGCAGTGGCTCAGGATACCTGTCGTACACACCCTCGCTCATCACTGAGGACCCAGCAGGGGAACCCAACAGCATCCCTGTTCACAACAGAGTAACAGTGACCCCAGGGAATGGGGCATGTGCAGCAGCCACACAGTAAGCTCCTAGGGCAGGCTCCAGGCCCAGCACTCCCATCCCTCAGACCCACCCTAGATGTGAGCTGCTCTCTGCCCTGGACTACTCTTTCCTGCTCTTTCTGCTTCCTTACGTCTGGAGGGCAGATGTGAGGGCAGGAGCTCAAGCAGCTATCCTGGCCCATGAGGTGACCCATGAGGGGAATGCCATCAGGCAGGATGGCAGTGGGCAGAGCCCCTGCTGACTGAGGCGGCACCACATAAGCTTGAAGTGGCTCATCATTGTGCCTGTTGCCAGGGGTAGGGGGAGCCAAACTCAGTAAAAGGCAGCTGGGTTTGGGTGCTAAGATCCCCCAGGATCCCTGTCCCTGCCTCTCCTAAGGCACGCTCCCCTCTGGGTGCAGCCCTACCTGGCTCATCCAGCATGTCAGCCAGGCCCTCCACCAGGGAGGCCGCCTTCTTGCAGCTCTCGGGATATTGCGCCACCACCCAGGGCCGAACCCTGTCTGGCAGGATGCCCAAGAACTGCTCCAGCACCAGCAGCTCCAGCATCTGCTCCTTGGAGCGTGCCTCGGGCATCAGCCACTGGCGGCACAGCTCATGGAGGCGGGCTAGGGTCTGGTGGGGCCCAGCAGACTCCTGGTAGACAAATTCCCGGAAGCGCAGGCGAGAGAACTCAAGGTCGGCAGGAGTTCTCTCAGTGGGAGTTTTCTCAGCAGTTTTCTCAGCTGGGGTTCTCTCAGAGGGAATTTTCTCGGCAGGGGTTTCCTCTGCAGTTTTCTCCGCTGGAGTTTCCTCTGCAGTACTGGTAATTTTCTCAGCAGGGGTTTCCTCTGCAGTTTTCTCCGCTGGGGCTTCCTCTGCAGTACTGGTAATTTTCTCAAGAGTTTTCTCAGAGGGAATTTTCTCTGTGGGCGTGTCCTCAGCGGGAGTTTTCTCTGTGGGCGTGTCCTCAGCGGGAGTTT